TTTTTTGTTATTATTATTACTAATAATATTAGTACTCCTGTTACTATTGTTATTACTATTAACTTTATTAATTTCTTGTTCTGTAGTTATAACTGCATTGGTAGTTTGTTGTAGAAGATTTTTCAGTGTAATATTGTCTGTATTTTAGTATAGCACTATTGCATCACTTTTATCTTAGTTGTATTTGTGACTAACCTTGTGAATTTTGAATACATTAATTTATTTTTCTGACTACAATGTTTAATTTTTGCAAAGAAATATAGATATGTTTAATCAAAAGACTCAATTTCCTGTGGCATTTTTATTATCTCTATGCTTATATAAATGCAGAAAGATTTTTGATGATCTTTTTTATTAATCAGGGCAACCATGTTTAATCCATATGCTTCACTGCCCACACATGGGTTAAAATACGGGCATTAGGCTTACTTCAGACACTCGTGTATGGTGATAAGATTCCATGCCTTGCAGTGTTGTTTTCCCTTTTTCTGCATAGGCTTCTTTAGCTTTTTTGCCATTTTCCAATGTCTATATTTGTTATTTGATTTGCTTTATCTAGATGGTAATAGACTTTTCCTTGCGCATACTCCATATCATCGCTCTAGATTGTCCAAAACATTTTGTTAAGTGTGTCATTAAATTATTATTTTGTAGTATTCAATTTTCCACATCACAAATCACTGTGTGCAGGAATAGGATTGAGCATGGAAATATTGTCCTCCCTGGAGCTGGTACTCTTCCTGTCGTTGCTGACGGATGGTACATTCCACACTTGTTTATTCATGGAAATAATGCAAAAGCCCTTCCTAAATGCCCACTCAGTCTAATCCCCCTCCAAGAGCTTTGAGCACTTGTGGCGAGTCATTCCCTTCACCTTGACCTTCAGCTGAAATTCAGTTGTTTGACAAGTTCTGGTCCCCTTGGCCTCAGCCAAATTTTCCCATGATGGCATGTTTTTGTCACCCCCTCCCCGAGCCAAATTTTTTATTATGTGATTGTCACGTCATCCTCATTAACCCAATGGCGTCGGGTGTACAAAACAAAAAAAAAACTCTACGCTTAAACAAACAAAGGCGGCGCGCCGACTTTGAGCGCGTGAGTAGGGGACATCAGCCCTAATCACTGGCTCGCCGCACTTTGGTGCGCCCCTGGCTCGTTTGGCTGCACGCCAGCTTTCGAGCTCTTTGTTTACACGCCGATCGGCGTCACCCGGCACCAAGGGGTTAAAGGGGATAATGGATGAATCAGAATGTGTTTGGGATTTGATTAGAACAGTGAATGCTCACTTCTTTTCAGTCTTTATGTCTCTTTTTGTCTTTTAATTCATTTTGAGTTAGGTAATCTGGTTTTGGAGAAATGTTCATTAAATTAAGGGGTAAAATATCCCAAGAGCAGTTTTAGAAATGGTGGCACTTTGGCCTTAAATATAATTGAATTTATTGATGTTGTTTATATCACTTCTGCACTTTTATTTTGTTTCAAATATACAATTTTGGAAATAATTTTTGTGTGCATGTTTGTTATTTTTTCTATTTTTTTCTAGAAAGAAAGCATATACCATGTTGAGTAAGGCTTTTAGCAAACTTCTCATTTTCTGTAAACAAATACTTTATGGTCTTTACAATTTTTAGTGGAATATGAGGGAATCATTCTATCCAAAAATGATATTGAGTCTCAGATTATGAATTACATTTTTGTTTTCTAATATCTATATTTATTCTTTCATACTAAGATACTAAGCCAAATCCTTTACTGTAATGGACTTTTGTGCTAACTCGCATCATAGTAACACCTTGCCAAGCAGAAGAACTAACAGTCATTATTTTTTTCTTACTTTTTTCTTGCCTTTAACCTCCTATACAAGGATATATGATTTGTTCAGTATGGTTATTTAGAGCATAACTTTTTTTTCAGATGCCTGTCTTTGTTGTGGGGACAAAGCAAGACCAGATAGCTGAGGTGAGAACGTCAGTCAGAGTTCGCAGCTCTTCTATCGCTGACGAGTGTGCAGCTGATGAAATAAGTGTGGTATGTGAAGTTATCAGTATATAAATTGTGTTTCTGAATATGGTTTTGGTAATGAGGCATGAAAGAGAATAAATATTTTCATTGTGTAATGTAATTGATTTAATGTTTTGATAGTTATACAGGAATCTCTGTATTAATGATAAAGATGCAGCTATTGAAATGTGACTCGCAAATCTTGCATTGTAATTTTATTCTATCTCAGCCATACCTTTTTCACACTTTGTCATGATGCTCTCTGGTTATAGATTTTACTTCTTGTAGCTTAGTTATTTTTACCCGTAATTAATCAGGGTCACAGTTATAAGTAGTCTTGAATTTTTTGTTTGGTTATTTGGAATAAAAAATAGACTTAGATGACTATAGATGGGTTGAGCATGTAGATTTAACAAGAAGTCTTGAATAGAAGTCTAGGTTTGCAGAAATTTTAGTGTTTTATAGAAGAGAGGAGGAAGAAGAAACACTGAATACAAGA